TGACCAGGATGGTCTTGATCTCTTGACCTTGTGATCCACCCGCCTTGGCCTCCCAAAGTGCTGGGATTACAGGCTTGAGCCACCGCGCCCGGCCAGGTTTTTTAAAAACTGTTTTCTTTAATAGATGTTAATTGAACATCTGTGTACAAAGCACTAGGCTGGTGCCAAAGGGTTTCAGACATGAATCAGACTCAGCACCTCACAGAACCTTAACTCTGGCAGACACACAGCCACAGGGAGACACAGGCAGGGCAGAGTGGGATGAATGGAAGCTGCTAGCCTCCAGATGCCAATTTGGGACACTTGGCTTCTATAGTGAGGTCCCTTCTCAGTCCTCTTCAGTAACCTCTCAGTCAAGACAGATCTGGATTAGCAAGATTTGGAGAGATGATTGGTGATGGGGAGAGCTCTCTAACCTATGTTTGTGCCAACCCCTCTTCTGCCCATTCTTCCTGTCCACATACCAGCATCCTTTTCCCTTGCCATGTATCTGTGGCCTCTGTCGTCCTTCGTAAACAGCTGTCTTCTCACCCTACAGATTATTGGGCAGGTGTATGCAGATCCTGACTGCCTTCCCCGAACACTGGACTTTGGCCTCAATGTGAAGCTTTTCTGGGAGAAGTTTGTTCCTACAGATTGTCCCCCAGCCTTCTTCCCGCTGGCCGCCATCTGCTGCAGACTAGAGCCTGAGAGCAGGTTGGTATCCTGCCTCTTTCTCACAGCTTACAGGGTGCTGGGATGTTTGCCTCAGCCTTAGGCCATCCCTGAGCCCTTCCCAAGCACAGGGGTGAGAGAAGCCTGGAGGTCAAGAATGTGGCTGTCAACCCCTGAAGCTACCTGACAACTTGTTTGTACAGGTTAGAGGAGAGAGAAGTAAAGACATAGCATCAAGTAAGCTGGATAGGATACAGAGCCACAGCCTTTAATTAAAAGAAAGTTTAGGCTGGAGCGCGGTGGCTCACATCTGTAATTCCAGCACTTTGGAAGGCCAAGGTGAGTGGCTTATGAGGCTAGGAGATCAAGACCATCCTGGCCAACATGGTGAAACCCTCGCTCTACTAAAATACAAAAAAAATTAGCCAGGCATGGTGGTGTGCACATGTAGTCCCAGCTACTCGGGAGGCTGAGGCAGGGGAATCACTTGAACCCAGGCGGTGGAGGTTGCAGTGAGCTGAGATTGTGCCACTGCACTCCAGCCTGGTGACAAAGCAAGGCTCCATCGCAAAACAATGAAAAAGTTTAAAAGAAGAAAATTCACCCAAACTATTTGCTCACAATAAGTGTATTCATCTTTCCATATTCCTGTCCATATCTATACATATACTTTTTTTTAATAGTAACTAGTTCTGTATTTTGCCCTGCATTTCCCTTGTTACTACCCAGTCTTTCTGTTTATCATTTTTGTTGACAACATGAAATTCTATTGAGAAACTGAACATATTGTAATGTAGATGTTCAGGTTTTTCCAGTTTCTCTTTTACAATAGGTATTAACTACAGTGAGCAGTTTTATGCATTTAGCTAATTTCCCCTTTAAAGAAGTATTTTCAAAATTACCTTTATTCTGAATGTATCTTGCATATGAGAAAAAAAAATTATCTTTATTCTTCTCAGGTGATAATTTCAATATTACAGAGTTACCCTAGGTCTTTTCAAGTTTCTGGTTAAAAAACTAGAATTTTTGTGGTTTTTTTTCCTGCCATCAAAAATCATGTTCCTTTTAAAAACAAGTTCAAACATTACCAAGATATATAGCATAGGAAATATGTCTTCTATAATCTCCCTTAACCAATATGCCGCTCAACATTCTCCTCACCCCTAACTCCACCCTCCCAGGATAACCAGTTGGCACATAATCTTTATTTAAAAATGATTTCCAGCGGTCCCCAGGTTGGAGAATCTATACCTTCTTCCTTTATAGGCCAAGGACTGCAGTCCTTCAGTAACACCAGTGTATGAGCTTGAGGAGAAATTGTGAAGCCACACACTATTTGTTTTCTAATACCCCTTGCCAGTCATTCTAAATATCTATCTTTAATTTGTTAAAAAAAAATATATATATATATATACACACACAGTATTGAGTGCCTACTATGTGCTAGGCACTGTTCTAAGCTCTTCGGTTATAGCAGTGAATTAAATAAAGGTACCTACCCTCATAGAACATATATTCTAGCATGGTATCTACTATATCATACAGGAGATACAATAAGTAAACTGTATTGAATATTAGAAGGTGGCAAGTGCTATGGAAAAAAGAGTGAAGCCAAGTAAAGATGATTATTTAGGGTACAAGTTGCAATTTTAAATATGATCATCAGAGCAGGCCTCACTGAGGTAACATGACATTTAGGCATAAACTTGGAGGAAGAGGAATATGCCTGAGCTGTCTTAGGCTCCCAGGGCAGCCAAGCCATTTCCGTGGCACTAGGAGCTTGGGGTTTCCAGTTCCACCTTTGATAATTACATTTTATCTAAGATATGGGAGGGGCCTTTTTCTCTTATTTTTTTGTTTTAGTACTTACTCCAGCTAGGCCAGCCTTCTCATGGTGTTATCTAATCTTTATAGCAAATATGTGAGGTAGTAGTAACATTATATTATGACCATTTCTCACAGAGGCACTGCTAGGTGAAGGAGTTTGTCTGAGGTCATACAACCAGGAAGTAGCTAAGCCTAGATTCCTCCCACCCACCCCGTGGCCCTGCTTATATTGCACCTGCCTCTGATTTACCTCTTTTCCTTCTAGACCACCATTCTCGAAACTGGAGGACTCCTTTGAGGCCCTCTCTCTGTACCTGGGGGAGCTGGGCATCCCGCTGCCTGCAGAGCTGGAGGAGTTGGACCACACTGTGAGCATGCAGTACGGCCTGACCCGGGACTCACCCCCCTAGCCCTGGCCCAGCCCCCTGCAGGGGGGTGTTCCACAACCAGCATTGCCCCTCTGTGCCCCATCCCTGCTGTGAGCAGGGCCCTCCGGGCTTCCTGTGGATTGGTGGCCTGTTTAGAAGCAGAACAAGCCATTCCTACTACCTCCCCAGGAGGCAAGTGGGCGCAGCACCTGGGAAATGTATCTCCACAGGTTTTGAGGCCTGGTTACCGTCTGTAAATCCAATACTTGCCTGAAAGCTGTGAAGAACAACAAAAAACCTGGCCTTTGAGCCAGGGGACATCTGTTACTCAGATCCACGCAGGAACTCTCTGGGAGTGGATCATGGGAGCCTCTTGCTTACACTAATCAGCATGGCCTGGACCTGCTTGGCAGGATCCCAGGGTGAACCTCCCTGTGAACTCTGAAGTTGCTAGTCCAGCTGGGTGCAGGAAGACTTCAAGTGGGAGTGTGGACAAAAGAGACTGGTGGCCAGGAGGTACTCGAAGGATGTGAAAAACACAGTGATGCTCCCCACTTCCACTCCAGATCCTACCCTTCCTGGAGCAAGGTTGAGGGAGTAGGTTTTGAGGAATCCCTTAATATGTGGTGGAACAGGCCAGGAGTTAGAGAAAGGGCTGGTTTCTGTTCACCTTCTTACTGGCTCTAGCCAGCCCAGGGACCACATCAATGTGAGGGGAAGCCTCCACCTCATGTTTTCAAACTTACTACTGGAGACTGGCTGAGAGCTTATGAACAACATCCTTTCCATCTGCAAAAAACAGTCACTTACAAGCACAGGAAGAGGCTGGGGGGCTAGAAAGAGGCCCTGCCCTCTAGAAAGCCCAGATGCTGGTTTCTGTTACTCATACTCTGGTTAGTCAGATGCCTAAGACATTTTGCCTAAAGCTAGATGGGTTCTGGAGGATAGCGTGGCTTGTCACAGGCCTAGAGTTTGAGACAGGGGAGTGGGAGTCTCAGCAATCTCTTGGTCTTGGCCTCGTGGCAACCATTGCTCACCCTTCAACATGCCTGGTTTAGGCAGCAGCTTGGGCTGGGAAAAGATGGTGGCAGAGTCCTAAAGCTAAGATGCTGAGAGAGACAGCTCCCTGAGCTGGGCCATATGACTTCTACCTCCCTTGTTTGCTCTCCCAGCTCATTGGCTTCTGGCAGCATCCTCCTGAGCCACATCTGAAGGTACTGGAAAGCCTGGGGCTACCCTCCATCTTGGCTCCCAGAGCTCTAGGAACTTTTCAGCACAACTAGATTTGCCTCTTCCTAAGTGTCTGTGAGCTTGCACCATATTTAATAAATTGGGAATGGGTTTGGGGTATTAGTGCAATGTGTGGTGGTTGTATTGGAGCAGGGGGAATTGATAGAGGAGAGTGGTTGCTGTTAATATTATCTTGTTATATCTTTTGGGTGGTATGTGAATATTGTACATAGACCTGATGAGTTGTGGGAACAGATATCATCTCTGGTCAGAGTTTACTTGCTATGTAGACTGTACTTATGTGTGAAGTTTGCAAGCTTGCTGTAGGGCTGCGCCTTGGACTCTCAGCAGCAGCACAGTTTAGCACTGTGTGGTGGGCTGTGTCCCGGCGTCCCCAGCAAGTATGGGAGTGGTGGGCCTGAACTGGGCCATTGATCAGACTAAATAAATTAAGCAGCTAACATAACTGGCAGTATGGAGAGTGAAAACATGACTGGCTCAGGGACACAAATGTAGAGGGTTTGCTAGCCACCTTCTGGCCTAGCCCACACAAGCTCCCCATAACAGAGGGTTTTCATGCACCCAAGTCTAAAACCCTTACCTTAAGTAGATACCAATCTGCTCTAGGGTATATGTACATATCCCACCTGAGCCAGCCCCTTCCTTGCAGCAGGTGTGACTATGATCTTTTCCTGGCCTGGCTCTCACATGCCAGCTGAGTCATTCCTTAGGAGCCCTACCCTTTCATCCTCTAATATATGAATACTTCTATAGCCTGGGTATCCTGGCTTGCTTTCCTCAGTGCTAGGTGCCACCTTTGTAATGGACAGAAGTGAATGCAAGTCAACCCATCCCTTGTGTTTTCCTACAAGTGCTTAAGAGAAAACCTGTTTCTTCTTTCTTTTGCATGTTGGGGATGTTGTTAAGGAGTGACCATTGGGAAGGAAAATGCTATCTGGTTAGTGGGACCTTGGGCACAATATAAATCCGTAAACCCGAAGGTGATTTCTCCCAGGCACTCTCAAAGCTTGAAGAATCCAACTTTAGGACAGGATCTGGTTCCTGAAAAAAAACGATCTGGAGTACACTTTGCTGGCAGAACCACAGAGCAATGTCTGGGCATGGGCAGAGGTCTTCTGGGTATTCCTGAGGCTGAGAACCTGTGGCTGAAATCCCTTGCTAATAGTCCAGGAAACACTCCTACTGATATCTTTCATTCTGGAGCCATAGGAGTCACCTTGCAGGGAACTTCCTCAGCTCACGGCTGAGGCAGCCCAGTGACCCTTCCTCCTCTGTAGTTATTCCCCCTTTGGCTGCTGCAGCACCACCCCCATCACCCATCCCCCGCCCCTGCTGCACTCCAACCTTTGACAAGGGCTGTCTGGACATTCATTTTAACTACCTCCACCTTGGAAACAGTGCTGAAGGGGAGATGCTTTGCAATGACCAACCACCTTATTGGGACACCTGCACACCTGTCTTTCTTGCAGCTTCAACCTGAAAGATTCCTGATGATAATAAATCAGACACAGAAGCCGGGTACAGTGGTTCAAGCCTGTAATCTCAGCACTTTGGGAGGCCATGGTGGGTGGATCACCTGAGGTCAGAGTTTGAGACCAGCCTGACCAACATGGTAAAACCCCATCTCTACTAAAATACAAAAATTCGCAGGGTGTGGTGGCACATGCCTGTAATCCCAGCTACTTGGAAGGCTGAAGCAGGAGAATCACTTGAACCCAGGAGGTGGAGGTTGCAGTAAGCTGAGATAGTGCCATTCCACTCCAGCCTGGGCAACAAGAGTGAGACTCCATCTCAAAGAAAAAAAAAAAAATCCGGACACAGGCTGCAGTTGCCACCCTCCAGTAACAGGGCCAGGATGAATGACGAAAAGTCCCAGAGCTTGCCACACAGGTGTTGACAAGGTAACCCAAAGCATCTCAACTTACAGGCAGGGCATATTCCTGTTACCCCTCAAAAACTTGGTAACGTAGAGTCTTTTTTTTTTTTATTATTAAGTCAAATGCAGAGCAATTTCCCACACTATATGCAGGTGTCAGAATGAGGTATATAAAACATGTATATAGAGAAATGCCTTTATAGAAAAGTAGAAACCAGTAATATTCTCTTCTCCAGCATCATTAATACCAAGAGACCCCCTAAGGTCTAGATCCCCAAAGCAGATGGCTCCACAGAAAGCCCCACTAACCTCCCTCTTCCCCCGCAGGGCAGTGGAAGGGCTCTGGAAAGGAAGCTCTATGGCTAGGACATGCCAAGGCCTCTGAGTGTGACATCAGGGCTCAGAGGCCCTGCTGAGCTGCTAGCACAGTGCAGTGGAGAAATGTTGCACTCAGGAAGCTGGGCCCTGGCCATGCCAGTAGCTTGCTCTACAACCTTGGGCAAGTCACTTTTTCCTCTCTCGGGCCCTATGTCCAAAAGCCTTAATGAACCCTTTCTAATGGTTGATTGCTTTATAAGTTAGGGGCTGTGACCCTAGCCCCATTGCCCTACAGGAAGGTGCTGGCCTGGGGACCCACAGGACCACCTGCTAAATCAGGCCCATTTCAGGAGCAATCCCGGAAGTGCTTTATTACCTTGCCTCTGAGCTTAGTTTCCACGTTAACCTCTTTGAAGCAGCTCCCAAGTCCCCACAGTATAATTCCCATAGGTTAGCTGACTACTTTCTTGCCTGTGCGAAATGAAGACAGGTCACCACTGTCCATCCCTGAAGAGAAACTGGGGCACCCCAGGTCTGCCTCTACTCCTGTGGCCCAAGGTAGGAGCAGATCCTTCTCTGCCCTCTTCCTAAGTGGAATGCTCAGTGCAATTCTTCCCTTCCTTTCCTTATGAAACAGTAAGAGTCCCTGGGCCCAGGCCTGGCCCATGGTTGTCAAGGCACATCACTGCCAGCAAGCTGGAGCATACCAGCAGCCCAAAACCTAGATCTCATTCTCAACCTGAAGTTCTGACTTCTGTACAAACTCATTTCCAGGCTCTCAGAGGTCAGTATGGAGTTCCATCCCAAATATTTTAAAAACTCTATTTTTTTTATGTCATCTCGACCTGCTTTACCTTAACCATGAATAACAGTGTATGCCACTAAAGCCCATGGTGGAGATTACGACCATCTTAGTAAAGCACAGAGGAGCCTGGGGGAGCTCCCTGTCTATCCCTGGTTCAGTTCCAGGGGTGCAGGCAATGTTTGGAAGCCCTTATCAGCAGCACCACTGCGGGAGCTGCCACTGCCTCCATCCACAGGCAAAATCCTGCTCCAAGGGATGGAGAAGGAGCACTGTTAGGACCCTGCCCAGCCTTACCCTCAGCCCACAGCACTACCTCCTTCTGTCACTTATTAGGATTCACCAAAAAAGGGGGGGAATGGTAGGGTTTTAACCAGAACGCAAAGTGGTAGATCCTCCCAGCTGTAGGAGGGTGGGCTGTCCTGCATCAGTGTCTGCATGGGCTCATGCCCACTGAGGGGGCTCAGGCCCCAGGAGTGCCAGCCTGGCTCATAAGGGGGGTGCTGCCCTCCTGAGGGTCAAGTGGAGTCTGGCTGGTGTGGACCACGACAGTCTTCTCATCCACAATCTCACAGGTGGGGTTGGTGAAGGCAGACAAAGGCAGGGTGATTCGCTGCATCTCCCTCTCACACACTTTCTGATCATGCTGTTCTTTCAAGTCCTTCCCCCTGGCAAGAAAGAAAAACATTCAGCCTATGCCTCCTGCATAGCTTTGCTTATTAGATAGCATCCCTGAGGCCTAGCAGGAGCAGCAGCTTGCCATAGTCACAACAAATCAGTGGCTGAGCCAGGACTCAAACTCAGTTCCAGGATACTAGGATATTCATTCTGCCAGACTGCCTTAAACAACAGGAAGCTCCTGCCCTTCTGGTCTCAGGTTCTCCATCTGGAAAACAGGGTGACAGCAGTATGGACTTCACGTAGCTTCACCGGAGCTCAATGAAAATAAAGTAGGGGATAGAGCCTTTTTGTGTGTGTGTGTGTGTGTGTGTGTGGTTGAGACAGTGTCTCAACATGTTGCCTATGCTGGTCTCAAACTACTGGGCTCAAGTGGTCCTCCTACCTCCCAAAGTATTGGGATTACAGGTGTGAGCCACTGCATCTGGCCAGATAGAGACTCTTAAAGCAAGACACAGTTTTATTCTTTCAACCCAGGGCTCCCAGAGACCCAGAGAAATATCTGAACTTTTGACTTAACCCGTAAATTTGTCCAGAAAACTGATGTGATCATCCAGCTGTGAGACTGCCTTCTTATCCTAAGTCCCAGAAGATGTGAGTCCATGCTGGAAATGGACCGTCTCTAACCCATGCAGGTGGCAAAAAGGACTGAGGGCGGCTTAGGTCGATGGGACAGTAATCATCAAATCTCTCAGAGATTTCACATACCTTTGAATTCTCATGGTGCTCACTGACCCAGTCACACCACGGTATAACTCCATGTTACATGTGGAGTGCTTATTCCATGCTAAGGACTTTATATACCTTATCCCACATCATTCTCAGCTCAACCCTAAGAATTAGGGCTTATTCACTGGCCTGGAGAAGTTAAGGAACTCTCCAAGGATGTGGTGGGTTCAAATCCACCTCTCTGGCTGATGCTCTCAGAAGTTCTGACCTGACCAAATTCACCCCACAAACAATAGTGGAGCAGGGACTCAAACCCAGTCTTCTGTCTGCACATGTAGGACCCTTTCCACTGGACCAGGTCACCCCTAGTGCTGACTAGAGGGCTTGATGAGTATCCAGCACATTGCACACCAGAACCAGCACCCAGGACCCAAGTTGGCATCCTCCAAAACCAGCAACTAGACTAGACATGGGTTCAGCTGTTAGAGGAAACAGGTTCTTCCCAGAAGAAGCAGTTGATGGATGACTGAAACAACACAGGGGCCTGCTTCCGACCTCCTCAGGGACATGGATGAGATCAGATGGATTACACATCCATCAGATGTTCAATACAATGACTTCTAGAGACTGGGGAAGAATAGTGGGACAAAAGAGTGGGGGAGGGAAGAGTATAGCGGAGGAAGAGTTGCACAGGTGTCTCAGAACTGTCTTTAAACCCTCCAGTTCTCCTTACCTGTATTCTAGTACCAGCTCAGGCTTAGCTGCGTAATTCTTGGCAAAACAACCTCTCTGGTTTCCTCGTGTGAAATGGAGATAATATCTGCCTCAAAATATGATAATGAGGGCCGGGCGCGGTGGCTCAAGCCTGTAATCCCAGCACTTTGGGAGGCCGAGGCGGGTGGATCACGAGGTCAAGAGATCGAGACCATCCTGGTCAACATGGTGAAACCCTGTCTCT